GAAGAAATAATTTTTATAAAGAACGAAATATAAAATGTAAATTCTTTTATCGGAGAACCTGTTAATAGAACCAGAATGAGATAAATGTGAGAATATTAGATAAAATAAAGATCAGCCTGATGAAAGAGGCTGTAATCATATTCTGTAACAGTGGTCAATTTTTAAAGAGACTAAACTCGTACAACATCCATCTTTATATTCGCCGCAGTGGAAACCTGAAATCTCATGAGACGAACCGGATATAAAAGATTTAGAGAGAATAGACGTCCAGAGACGTACGATAATAGCTGACTTGCAAAATGGAACAGGATAAACAGCTTAATCCACGATAAACTATGACAAAAGTAAGTAAACACACACACAAAGAGACAGTTACTGGAATAAAAATAAGACATTTAAAAATAAATTGAGTACAGACTTAGAGAACACCTAATATGGAATCAAAATAAGTAAAATTTTATATATTAAAATTATTAAAAATATTATTACGCAACTGCAACTGTTCTAATATGTGTAAAGACTTACAAGGATTTACTCAGACACCATGATAATTAAATACAACAGACCACTACCGCCTGAAAGAATCTTAATTATCAACTAACTTCCTGAAGAATATTTCTTATTAAGAAGCTAATAGCATTCTCGGCTAGTTAAGATATTCCCCGGTGTTTATCAGACCCGAAAATTCATTACTGCGATCACAAGAGCCCACCAACATCCTCTAAGCCCATTTCCTTAATAAGCATTTTAATATTATCCTCCCATCTACACATAGGTCTTGCGAGTGATCTGTTTCATTCAGACTTTCGAATTATATTTTGTACGTAACCTAGAAAACTGATGCATTTTGTTATATTATCTACAAACAGAATGAAGCATGAGACGTAAGTAGTAACTCGCCTGTCATTTCACGTATTTACAAAAACGACAGAAGGGCAGAATTAAAAACAGCATCAGGGGCAGAACGTCTCGTAACATTTTATAGTTCCTCCAATTCCTGTGTGCCTTTTATACAATTCTGTCTGATGCAGGAAACTTACAAGAAAATGTATCTTTCTTTTCTGAGTGCTTCATCTCAGTTCGAAGCCCTTAGAGCAGACAAGCGTTTCCTTACATCATCCCTTGAAGTAGGGGTCGGTACAGGGGGAGGGGGGGACAAGGAAAATAAACTTTCTGCACGCAAAGCAAAGGAAAATGGAATCACTTTGTAATGGCAGTGCAGCTACCACGCAAATAGGTGCAACAGGGACAAGACATTTGTCATCTTGATATACAGAGGTTGGTGTTTCTGGACACAAACAGAGCCACGTATGTGTGTTTGTTCATCAATGCACGAACGTATGTGAAAATTTTCTGTAGGGTAAAAATATATGTGCCTAGAATATCCTACATTCTGGTAAATAAATTATCCGTTTATTTTAAATTTCGAACACCCATTATCGTGATCAATTTGTTCTTCAGCCCTGAAGATGAATTGAGTTTGACTCTCCGAAACGTCGGTTTCTAACTATAAGTCTACACGTCGCGAAATCCCAGAAGAACATCTTCATCTGCACGTCGTGAAAATTTCAAATCTCAGATACATTATCCTGTTAACGATCTCAAACTCAGGACCGAATCTTGAGCTACGTGGTTTCAGTCCACACCCTCAAATCCTGATTAATATACATTTTAAAGTTATCCTCTCAGAAGTAAATTAATTTGTAGCATCTAAGGTTTCCACGGCGGTGAGTCAGAAGACGGCCATCTTCTAAATTAATTTGGCTCAGCACGGTTATACACGTAAGGGTTCTTTAAAATGCAGAGATGTATTTACTAAAACAGAAAGGGTTAGTTGGCAGCTAGCTAAGGGGTCCACGACACGAGGGCGTTGCTTGGAGTCTAGAAGTAATCCACGACGGGTCTTCGTTCAATAACACGGAACGACAAGTTGATTGATTAGACGATCACCAGATGTATGTTTCTGTCTTTTGACGTAGAGACAATGAGGTAGTGAAATGGCGAGTTGCTATTGGCTCCAGCTAATACCAGTGCAGGAGGAAGTGATGGATGATGAATTACAAGACCTAGATGACGGACACGTGTCGTGTCAGAGACATCCAACACGTGTCCTTCTTTCTATAGCACAATATACTGCAGCGTAATGATCTTGTATCAGACATCATGTTACTGACTATTCAGTTTAAAAGGTATCCTCCACTGTCCAATGACCTTACTAAGGGTATTAATAGCACAAGATGCACGAAAGCTATGCATTGACACTCTACAACTCAGATAATTTGCATCGTATTTATCTAAAGCGATAAAACAACCTACATTTTAAACCTACGTATAATTATTTGAATTTTCAAATTTAGTTATTTAATTATGCTTGGTTTAATGACAGTGTACGTATCGCAGCCTATATGGCGTTGAATGATTAATAAATAATGAACTGGGAGGGATATGGAAGGATGCGGTCATTTGCTGGGTACTATCATAATATTTGACTGGAGGGACTGTGAAAAACCACGAAAGTCGGTAGTCGGTCTGCAAGCCGAGATTTGTATCTGGGGCCTCACGAGGGATAACCACTCGGTCGATATGGTAACCAGTGAAAAATAAGTGTGTGAGATTACAAGGGGCAGACCTCGTACATCTGCATGTGTCAGGATGAGAATTAAAAAAAAATGTGCAGACCACAGATAGAAAGTTTAAGGTAAATCGACCAATGTCAGTGACGAAATTAAGAACAGAATACATTCGAGAAACTATTGTCATCCCTTTAAGTTTCCAAAATATTAAATAGCAGGATTATAAAACAACAATTTTGCCTGTTGTTTTGGATGGTTGAGAAATATGGTCTCTTACTTTGAAAGAAAAAGGTAGATTACAAGAGTTTAAAAAAAACAGGATGCTCAGAAGGACATTTGGATGTATGAAGGATGACATAAGTGGTTTCGGGCTACAGAGGGTTAAATAATTAGATTTAAAAACATGTTCTGAACGTTTTCCAGCATAAGCTGTATGGATACCATCCACAGATTTGACGAAGGGAAGTTTGTTCGTGTAGTAAGCTGGGGCTTGGGGAACTACTTGTTAACTGTGACAAGACAAATCGACCCACTACTTGCAGATAACGCGGCTTACTGAGACAAGATACGGCCTGAAACCACAGGTGTCCTCGGGGGCGTGGGAAGATATGGTCGAACAGATGTGTGGCATTTACTAGTCTGATGCACCTGGTTCACTGAAAAGCGTATGACGGCAAGACACCTGGAAAAATGGCACATGTCCTAACACCTGTTTCAAAAGATCTAGCACATCTCAGAAATAGATTTTAATTCCAAACGATAATTATAATAATTGAGGCACTAAACATCTCTGAAACGTTGGTGTATTTCTACATGACTACAAGGCGAAGCCTCCAGAAAGACAGTCATATTGGGACAGTGTTGTTTAAGGTATTATGGAACAACACAACCAAAACAAATGAAATTAAAAACTCCGAACAAATTACAGCGGAATGTTTCAGTAGCAGATTTCATAAATATCTATGAAATAGTTTCTAAGACGTTGTACTCATCACGTGATCATTTCATAACCTTTTACTAATCGTCTGGAAATAAACGAGTTATTACTTTTTTATAACTATGTTTGTTTCTGTTAACTGACTAAGCGACTGACAGAAAATATTGAATGATTTAAAATACTTTATCATTAGTTTTCTTCAGAAATTTTTTCAAAAGAACCAACTTCAAAGAGCTAGTGTAGATGGAAAGATAATATTAAAACGTATCTAAAAATCTAGTAAGGTAATGTGGACTGAATTTATGTGGCTTAGTTTATAGATCACAGGGGGCTTTTGTTAACACGGTAATGATCTTTCGAGTTCCATAACACGGAAGTTTTTCCGCTAATTAAGCATCTATTAATTTTAAAGATGGACTCTGAACCAAGAGTTAGCAGTAGCTACCGTTAAATACTAATTACACATAAAACATAATTTAATTACATACGTAAATGTTTAATTATAAATCTTGCATTAAAGTATTGAAAATTTCAGTGAAATAAGTTAGTTAATCGGATAAAACATGCCACTCGGCAACGTTTAACTTACTTTCATGTTGTTTCAGTCGCCACTAATCAACCCCTCTTCTTCACGTGCCACCACATAAGTCACTTTCGCATTTAAACACTTGCAAAGAACCTTGTAACAATTATTTATATCAAAACTATATAATTTTAAGAAACTTCAAAAAGAAATATCACGATAATATTACCAAATCCTATCACATTGAAGTAAACAGTCGTATAGAATTATAACACACCATCATACTCTACACTCACGCACCGCGACAGGCTGTTGTTCTGGGACTGACAAGTTCAAGGCCTCTTGTATTCTAACTGGTACCATTTGAGAAAACTCCCCCAACAGATGGTTCTGATGTCGCATTGTATACAACTCAGGTACCAGTCATATTTTAACATTACATAACTTATTACACATTCCTTAAGTGTACATAACAATTTTTATGAACAACTGTGTTCACGTACTGACAAAAAAATGTGTGTTAATATTATTTTTAACAGTGAAATTTATGATTGCAGGGAAAAATAAAAGAATTATATTAGTGATGTACGAAAACAGTTAGAATAAAATAGAAATGCAAATATCTTTAATTGAGTTTCATCTCCCAAACATTCTAAAAACTGGTTATATTTTCTGTTACGTAAATATTAAAATATAAGAGATTACATTTTGTTAAGGAAAGAAAATATAATGATAGGTTTTGAAACCAAGGTGCTGGGAAGAACAACAAGGAACCAATCAACGATACGCCCAAGAAATAAAAAAAAACTTTAATTAAAAAAATTACGTGTTGAATAATCATGCAGAATCAAAAAGGTTTACTACTGCAGAGCCATCTACTCAGAATAATGGTCGTGCCGTTCGAATACTCCTGACTATACAGTACCGCCATCTTGACAAAAGACAAATGCGTAGGTTCGAAATTTGCCTCCATAAGCAAGCGAAACCATTTTCGTTCGTGCAGTGTCAATCGCGTGCTACATTATGTATTGTGCGTAAGAAAGTGCTTTTATATCTGTAATAAATTTTATCGGTTGTTTATGAATAGATGGTAGAGTGAAAAAGTGTTATTGTGTTTGTTAGCTGCAAGTTATGAAATGTGGCGTTGGCAGAATGACATTGATATTTGATGTGTGCGACAGGTGTGGGTAAAAATACTGAAGTGTGTTGTTTGTTTCCACGGATGCGGAAGGAATAAAGAATTTGCTGTAACAACAGAAAGGTAATTGAAATTAAAATGTATCCATTAACATTATAGTTATGAATAGCAACAAGTAATTTTATATCCTGGAAAATTCTCGGCGTGTGCAATTGGTTATACTACCCAGCGTTTCGTACTAGATAAATTTTCTCATGTAATGTTATTTTACGACTCTTTATCAACTGCAGACGATATGCAGTAACTAGTGAAAAAGTATAAGAACGTTTTGATTCTTTATATACTGCTATCGTGGGGTATGAAAAATATGCAAATCAAACTGACTACATCTCTTCTTCATTAAGTGATTACGTTTTGCTCCAAGGACGTGCTAGCTCTGTGGTAATGTCTTGGATTTATATGCGTGGGGTTGCAGGATCGATTCTCGACCACTAAACTTTTTTTATTTAATGTAGTCATCATGTTTTTGTTATACATTATACAAAAATTACTCTTATAAAGTTTTGTGTCTTTAGATAATCTTGAAAGTGGTGTTGGTGTCGATTTATCAAAACAAGTTTCTTCATCTGCCATATTGGTATTACTGATTCTAGGAAGTGTGATTTTACGGTTATGCCCAATTACATAACTAACTAACTAACTAGATGGCTTACGGAACCCGAAGGTTCATCACCGAACTAACCAAAGCCATCCACCGGACCCTGTCCTGGGCCAACAAAATCCAGTCTCCTTCAACTCCTATCTCCCATAGATCCCGCCTGAGATTATCCTCCATCTACGTCTAGGTCTCCCCAGTGGTCTCTTCCCCTCAGGCTTCCCAAATAGTGGACCCGGTGCACACGTCTTGTCCCATCAATGCGCGCTACATGCCCTGCCCATCTCATTCTTCTCGACTTAATCAACCTGACAATACTGGGGGAGGAGTACAGATTTTAAGCTCATCATTATGCAGAGTGAGAGACCATGTTTCGCACCCATACAAAACAACAAGAAAAAATATTGTTTTGCATATTTTAATATTTAGGTTCCTAGAAATGACGGGAAGACAAAATATTTTGGACTGAGAAGTAGCAAGCATTTCCAAAATTTATTCTCCTCCAAACTTCGTCGTGAATATTCTTTTGATTTCTTATTGTTGTTCCCGAATATTTTAACTTTTTCACACTTTCAAAGGATTTATTAGTCACCATAATGTGATTTTGCATACATTACATATACTTTTTTTTTTCTTAATGTATTTGTTGGCCAACTTTTCTACTAGCTTTTAGTAGAACTTCTGTGTTCCTCTATATTGTATTTATTTCGTCCCCCAATAAATTAACATTATCAGCATATGCCAATAGCTGGAGATTTATAACTTTTCAACTTTTTAATGTATAGTTAAACTTTATCTAAACATGGTTCTAACATCATCAGCTCCATGAATATTTAAGAGCTGAGAAAAGACATTTTCCCACCTGTTACAAATTTTGATTTAATCTGCCATTAATTTGCTATTATCACCAGATACTGATTCTGCTTCTTCATAAAATCTATCATTGATATCATCACTTTTGTCCTTAGTTGGGGCCTGAACATTAAGGACAATAATTCCCACCAAAGTCCTTATAGAATTACATAAGACAACCTGTCACTAACAAACTATACTCTCTTAAGTGTTGCTCTAATTCTGCTGTGAACAAGAAACCTTTCCCTAACAGATGATTGTCATTCTCCTTTCCACAGAAAAATGTAAAATTTTCCACTGCCATCGCGTCCTCCCCCTCCCATCGCACCTCCTCCACTGCCACGAAAATTAACTTATAAATCTTTAATTCCCTAATCACTAATTTCTGTGCCCCTGTCGTATAGAGAGACCCCTAACATTCCAGGTTACACAACGTCCATGCCAAATTTCAGCAAAATCCGTCTTGTAGTTCTGGAGTTAAATCATGCGGACACAAGGACAGGCAGATTGAGATGACCTGCCCAAAATGTGTTCATTTCAGGCACATCGCGAAAAGATCGCGTAATAATTACAATTCGTAATCTAAGTTAAAGACTTCCGTTACCATGACAACGATTATACATTCATAGATAATAACTCATAAGGCCAAAAATTCAGGAAATGTTTATCAATCTAACCTAACCTACTAACCAACATTAATTGTAAAGTTTATTAATATTATAATCCTTGTTTTTGAAAGTTTAAAGTTGTACTCTATTTTTAAATAAGTTCAATCAAGTGATTTACGTGAATATTCAGAGTTAAGAGTTTGATGAAAGTTGAAGCAACTGTAGACAATAGAAGTGGAAAATTAAAGTATTAGCACGTGAAACTTTCTTAAACTTGTAAGCTCTCATATTGAACCCGTGGAGTGACGGAAAACTTGTGTGGTTTCATCATTCATCATGACGTCAGTCACTCTCTGCCGCCATTACTCAGTCAGAAGGGACGTTTACGGCTTACGTCTTTTTTCCAAGCGATCGGCTGAGTGTTCAGCCTTACAAGGACCTGATATGCCTCCCGCTTGGCATATCTTCCGGTTATTTCTTGGTATATTTAACGATGATTTATCAGCTGAATAAGTTGTACGACAGGAATTAACGTTTATGGGCAATATGAGAGGAAGCGGTTGTCACTTACAATAGCCCGATATTGTTATAGAGTGACTGAGGATAATTCCGTAAAATCAGAGAGAGGATAGGTAGTATCCTGGGTTAGTTTTTAATTAGGAGCAGTCTTAATTAAAAGAGACATATCATCCATTATATTTCGAAATTCGGTCATTAAATTTTTACTGGTTTCATGTTACAATTCTATACCACGTGTTTTACTATAACGTCTGATGGACAAATAATATCAGTAGGCAATAACATTTATATAACATAATTGATAAGCAAATTTTTATGTTAATTTTGAAGTGTCTATTGCATATCGGGACTTAACAATTGTTTATATCATGTAACAGTTTTAAGACAATTAATGACCATTTCTCGTAAGAAGAAATAATAACGTAATGTATAATGAATTTAGAGTCAAGATAAGTTTTTAATGTTATTTTTTTTCTGTTTTTTTTTTTTTTTTTTTTGTATTTATGACCATACTGTAAGCCTAGGTTTTTAAATATTGATCCCAGATTCAATATAATTTAAATTACATTAATCATTTAAACTGCGTAAATGATATGTAAGTTAATTTTTTAATACAAACCAAAGTTAGGGAATATTAAAAATTGTGCATATTAAAAAAATTTTGGCGGTAATTTTCATGGTGATCAGTGCAATTCATACATTAAAAAATAAACGTATTTAGACTATGCTATCTAGAAAAGAATATTTTGTCCATTGTAATGTATAATAAATTCTCAATGAAAAGAATTAGCGATGTTTGAAATCAAATTTTTACGTTTTAGTTTTGATTGTAATAAATAATTAATCATTTTAACTAAATATGTAAGCTTTGGGACCTACATAATTTAACTATAAACGTAGCTTCAAGAATGCCAGTTTTAGTCTTCCGGATTA